AATAGAAGAAATAAAAAAGAACAAGAGCTATTTAGAATAAGGAGAAAAACCTAGATGTATGTATATATATATATGCATGTGCGTGTCTGTGAAGTGTGACCAAAGTGTAAGTAGGAGTAGCAAGATATCCCTGTTATCTAGCGTGTTTATGAGACAGAAAAAGAAAACCAGCAATCCTACCATCATGCAAAACAGTTACAGGTTTTTGTTTCACAGTCATCTGGCAGGACGGTAGTACTTCCCTGGGTGGTTGCTGTCTACCAACCTACTACCTATCTCCAGCAAAATATTTCATAATATTCCATTTATTTTAGTGCTTGCAAGTACTAAATAAGCTACCATGGCTCCAAAGAAAGCTCCTAGTGCCAAGCCTGTGGTAAAGAAGGTGAGAAATACGATTGAATTTAAGAAAACCATCATTGAACAATATGAAAGTGGTACAAGTGTGGCTGAACTGGCCAGGATGTATAAGAAACCCTACACAACCTTATGTTCCATAGTGGCCAAAAAAAAGGAAATCAAGGATGCTGTTGTTGCAAAGGGGGTAACTATGCTGACAAAAATGAGTTCACCAGTACTCGAAGAGGTTGAGAAGTTATTTTTGGTGTGGATAAATGAGAAACGATTAGCAGGAGATACTCTTATGACTTCGATTATTTGTGAAAAGGCTAGGCAGTTGCATGACGATTTGGTAAAGAAATTGCCTGCAACTAGTGGTGATGTGAGTGAATTTAAGGCCAGCAAAGGCTGGTTTGAGAGATTTAAGAACCATACGGGCTTTACACAGTGTGGTAAGGCATGGTGAGGCTGCCAGTTCAGACCACAAGGCGGCTAAAAAATATGTGCTTTGAATTCAGGAGTACATAGAGGCTGAAGGACTGAAACCTGAACAAGTGTTCAATTGTGACGAAACAGGCTCTTTTGGAAGAAAATGCCAAAGAGGCCCTTTCATTACACAGGAGGAAAAGGCAATGTCAGGACACAAGCCTATGAAAGACAGGCTGACGCTAATGTTCTGTGCTAATGCTAGTGGGGATTTCAAAGTGAAGCCATTACTAGTGTACCATTCTGAAAATCCCAGAGTGTTCAGGAAAAAACAATGTTATGAAGAGTAAATTGTGTGTGTTTTGGAAAAATCTAATAGTAAGGCATGGGTCACGAGGGAAATTTTCGTTGAGTGGTTCAATGAAGTGTTTGGCCCTAGTGTGAAGGAGCATCTCCTGGAAAAGAAATTGGATCTCAAGTGCTTGCTAGTAATGGGACAATGCACCTGCTCATCCTCCAAACTTGGATGACCTAATTTTCGAGGAGTTTGGGTTCATCACAGTAAAGTTCTTGCCCTGAATACCACTCCTCTCCTCCACCCCATGGACCAGCGGGTTTCATTGCAAACTTTAAAAAATTTCTACACAAAAGCTATGTTTCACAGGTGCTTAAACTGTGACCACAGACACTCACTTGACCCTAAGGGAATTTTGGAGAGAACACTTCAGCATCCTCCATTGCATAACCCTTATAGGTATGGCTTGGGAGGGAGTGACTACCTGGAGAAAATTGTGGCCAGATTGTGTCGACAAGAGGGATTTTGAAGGGTTTGGGACTGACCCTGATGAGCCTGTGTCTTGTAAAATCAATTGTGGCACTGGGGGAGTTCCATGGGGTTGGATGTGAGTTTGGAGGATGTGGAAGAATTGGTGGAAGACCACAATGAAGAGCTCACCACTGAGGAGCTGCAAGAGCTTCAGCAGGAAGAGCAACAGATCACAGCTCAGAATCTTGCTGCAGAGGAGGAGGAGAGATGGAAGAAGGTGCCTTCTTCAGAAATTAAGGAGATTTTTGCAATGTGGGGTAAGATGGAAAGATTTATGGAGAAACATCACCCTAACAAGGTTGTTGCAAGCCATGTTGGCAACATGTACAGTGACAAAGTCTTGGGCCATTTTAGGGAAGTGTTAAAGAGACGCCAGAAACAGAGCTCTCTGGACAGTTATTTTGCAAGACAGGACTCCAGTGACTCTCAAGGTGGTCCTAGTGGCATTAAGAAACAGAGAAGAGAAGCAACCCCAGAAAAGCAATTGGTACCTGGGGTTTGTTGCTGGAAGGGATTCCCCTTCCAAACTATAAACAATCCACTCTCTCTCCTCCTCCAGTCCCCCATACACTAAGAAGAATCTCCAATAAAGGTAAGTGTTATGCTGTTAATGTTTCATTCATCATTTCCCATTGTATTGTTTATGTACTACATGTATATTTCATGTAAAATTTTTTTTTGTTTTAATACTTCTGGGTGTCAGGAACGGATTAATTGTATTTACATTATTTCTTATGGGGAAAATTGATTCGCAAATCGTAAATTTCGTTTATAGTAGCTCCTCCAGGAACAGATTAATTACGAAAAATGAGGGACCACTGTATATATAATTTCTTATTATGATTTCCCATGTGTATATTACATACTGAAGATCCCCTAGACTCATGCCATAAATACTTTAGAAATCCTATGGAACATCATAATAAATGGGGACCTACTGTCCGGGATATTGAACCTTGTATATAAACGCCTTGAAAATACAGACATAAAATAATAATTAAGAGGTTTAAAGTGCCCAGAAAAGACCCTAATGTAATAAGATGGCTTCATTATCCGCCAGGTTTGAAGATCTTACCACTAAACGATTGAATACAATTAAGTTATAAATTTGTTGGCAAATAACAAAGTCTCTTGGAGTAAAGTATGACAAACACTAAGCCGCCATTACCCTAAGGGCAATCATTTGGAATTTACTTTTTCCAGAAGCCCCAGAGGAAGACTCTGGCGAAGAATTAGAAGATAATGAAAGTTTAATCTCACAATTTGACCAGCAGTTATTAGTAAATGACATGGTAGTGCCTTCAGTAGTTAAAGACACATCAACGAGACCTAAGTCTCCAAGACCAGTTTCATCTCAGGCTCAGACCACTTGGGAAACCCTAGGCTTCACTGGTACTACACCAGGAACTGCCCTATTCTCTGAGTTAATGGAACCTAGAGTTCCTGTGAGGAATAATCCAGAGTTTTCCCAATGGAACTCCATTCAAATTCCTCCAGAGATCCACTCTACTGAACAATTTGAGAGATTAGAACGCTTCTTGAAATTACAAACTACGTACATTGAAGCCCAACGTAAGTTTAAACAAGAAGAGTTCGAAAGAGAATCCATCAGATGTGATAGACAACTCAACCCAGGAAAAACGGAGTATCATTTGGCACCAAGAGTCGAGACATTCAACATTCATCAAGCAGCTGCTATGGTATCCAGATTCTGTGAGGAAAACCTCGATGCATTTTTTGAAACCTTTGAAAATCAGGCTCAAATTATGAAGTGGCCTCAGGAATATCTACTTTTGGAGCACTACGAATTTGAACGTCGATTTGTTTGGACCGTTTAAGGGTTAAAGTGTTTATATCTAATTGATAAGTAAAAGGTACCATTAACCCCTTTGACTGTTTTGGTCATATATATACGTCTTACGTGCCACTGTTTCGGACGTATTTATACACGTAAATTCTGGCGGCTTCAAATCAAGCAGGAGAAAGCTGGTAGGCCCACATGTGAGAGAATGGGTCTGTGTGGTCAGTGTGCACCACATAAAAAAAATCCTGCGGCACGCAGTGCATAATAAAAAAAAAAACTGACCATTTTTTTGGATTAAAACGCCGAATTTGGTGTATTTTTGTATTGTATTTATCATTGTATTCTCGTTTTCATGGTCTCACGTGATAAAATGGAAAACATATTACAGAAATAGAGATGATTTTGATTAGTTTCACGATGAAAACGACCTTGAAATTGAGCTCAAAGTAGCGTAAATGTTCGATTTTTACCTATGTTCAGGAGCAAGCAAATCACACCACACATCCAATACACATCAACTGGGGAGTCTAATATTCTTTCACTAGTGCACTGATATTATTTATATCATTTTTACAATAATGCAGTAGTCTGCATAACAGTAAATTTTGTATTTTTGTATGAATAAAATATCAAAATAGAAAGCAATAGTAATATAAGAGGGGCCTAGAGACGTGACTAATGAACAGAGGATATGTTGTTTTAGTGCCAGGAATGTCTACATTGTTTATTCTGGACCCTATTTTGAAACTGGCATCTTTTTTAATTTGCGTTACCACTTTTTGGGTAGTTCAAATCGGTTTAAAAGGTGGTCTCTTGTACTCAAACTGATAGAAAAATGGAGTTCTAAAGAAATAGCTATGAGTTTGGTCAACTGGAACCCAAAGGAATTGGCAAAAACAGGGCTCAAAGTCAGCGAAATCGCGATGCATATATGTTGCCAAGAAACCCCTAACTTCGCAGGAGCGTAATTCCGCGAGTTTTCGACCCCAAAATTTTTTACTTTTGGTGTCATTACCATCGGGAAAAGATTCTCTATCATTCACAAGAAAATTTTTTTTGTTTTTTTCCAAAAATTTTGTGACATAGAATGAGTTTCAGAAAGGGGCTTGCGACAGTCAAAGGATTAAAATACCTTTAGATCATAAAGTAATGTACGTTATATTAAAAGAGATATTTTATGAATTTTTTCTATCTCCTTAATACTAAAACTGATCCGCACAAGAGATTGAATTATATCAGTATAGTATATAATTTCTTATTACGATTTCCCATGTGTATATTTCATACTGAAGATCCCCTAGACTTGTGCCATAAATACTTTAGAAATCCTATAGAACATCATAATAGCTGAGAAGAAAAAGAGGATGATTTCCATGGAATTAAAGCATGAAATCATAGATAAACAAGTGAGGTGTCCAGGTTTTGGGTTGAGGGGGAAGCAGGAGGAGCTGGCTCGTAACTCGGATGTTGGCTTGTAACTCAGAGCAAAAAATTGACTGAACGATGGCTCATGTCTCAAAAAACTCATACATTGGGACACTCTTAAGTCAAGGTTCCACTGTACTGTGTCGTACCATAACCATAGTGTAGTAAAATACCTTACAGAATCGAATAGATGGGCTGATAGTGAGTAACACAACAGTAACCAGACCACTGTGGCTGGAGAGTGCTGAGAGACAAGAAGTGGGAGGCCTCAGTGGCCAGCCCCTCAAGTCGCTGGCCACACACACAGTCACAGACATGTATCGCCTCACACGAGGTAAATACTGTACAGTATATGTGTGACAGCAGATGTGAAATGCATTCAGGGATAATCTTGTGTAATTACATACAGTGGACCCCCGGTTAACGATATTTTTTCATTCCAGAAGTGTGTTCAGGTGCCAGTACTAACCGAATTTGTTCCCATAAGGAATATTGTGAAGTAGATTAGTCCATTTCAGACCCCCAAACATACACGTACAAACGCACTTACATAAATCACTTACATAATTGGTCGCATTGGGAGGTGATCGTTTAAGCGGGGTCCATTTGTATTTGCAACTACTGTACCAGTTTGTAGCTACAGAAATTGAAATGTGTTTGTGGTATCTTGTGTTTTTTATAATTTTTTAAAAAATATTGAAAGTTTTTCCTAAATGTCTAACCAGTCTTTCTCTGTATATTTGTTATCATTTGTATTTTTCATTGACTATTTTATAACACATTATCAACAGATACTCCTGTAAAATTATATGGTATGAGAATTTTGATTGCAGTTGGATTATTACATTTATTAATTCACAGACATTAGTTATATTGTTTTGTGGCAAGATTTATTTTAGTCTGTAACTTTATATTTATCTCTCATTATATTTATCATGAGTTTTTGTATAAGTTGAGCACACTCATCATTCCAGTGTATGTTAAGCTTGCAAATTACCCACAACAGGATTAATACCTATCATTGGTGTGGGTGGTGTTGCAAGTGGCCAAGATGCCTATGAAAAAATCTGTGCTGGAGCCAGCCTCGTCCAGGTTTACACCGGTCTTGTCTACCATGGTCCACTTCTAGTACATCGAATCACTAATGAACTTGAAGATCTTTTGAGGTAATATGTATTAATTTTATGTTTTACTCTCCATTACTGAATGTATTTTACTCTACTACATAAAAAATTTACTTGACAATTTTGACATAGTAACTTTTAATCTTCATGTATAGCAGTTAGCAAGACTTTAGTTCTGAATATGAGACGTACAGTGCTTGGGTGAGAAATATGCAGCTTTATAGTTATTTAAGTTATGATCTCATTGCACTTTGAGAAAAGCAGCTAGAGAATAAGTGATGGTGAATACATTTCCTTCTTTGGGTAACCCTACTTTTGTGGAAAACAGTTGATTGCTCACTATGAACTTACAAATTAGTGAATACAACCAATTTAACTAAAGCTTATTTCACTAATTAAAATTTTCACTAAATTTTATTTCTACAAGTGATAGTATTAACCCTTTCAGGGTTGGCGCCGTACTAGTACGGCTTATGCACCAGGGTTGGTGCCATACTAGTACGCATAAATTCTAGCGTCCTCAAATCAAGCAGGAAAAGGCTGGTAGTCCTGGATGTGAGAGAATGGGTCTCCATGGTCAGTGTGAGCAGTATAAAAAAAATTGGGGACCCAGTGGTGCACTGTGGGAAAGCCATTTTATTACACCTTGTTCACCATGCCTAGCGGTAAGAAACTCCTCACTCCTCAGCTAATTGGGGCTGTTTTATTCCCAAGTGACAGTTCAAACACAGATGGAAGTGTCAGTGAAGATGAATTTCATGGTTTTGAGGAGTCGGTGACCGAAAGCAATCCCCAGGAAACCAACCCGAAGGAAGGAAGGAAGAAAGGAAGGAGACCATCAACCTAGGATAACTCAAAAAAATTCAGACAGTGATTTATTTCCATGTGGGTTGGTTGGGGTGGGGAGAAAGGAATGGGTGTTGACAGGCAGTGAGGGTGGTGAGTGGTGGTGTTATTTGTCATTGTGACACTAATTAGGCCGGTGGCTCAGCATATTTACAAGTCCACCCCCACACAACAACTACGAGCTTTACAGAAGCTGTAGCAGTTCTGGGAAGTGTCCAGTGACTTTATATGTGTATATATGTGATAGAAAAATAATAATAAACAACATTTTTATTGTTGGTTTGTGTAAACATGTTTTACAATATAATAACTGTTTGTGCAGTTATTATGTAGCATACAATGAGTGAATATCCATTCAATATACCTTATATTGCTCTCACAGGCCAGAGAAGTTACTTGAAGGAAAGAAGGAGGAAGGGAAGGAAGGAAAGAAGGAGAGAGAGAGAGGGAAGGAAGGAAAGAGGGAGGGAAGGAAGGGAGGAGGGAGGGAAAGAAGGAGGGAAAGTAAGTAGGAAGAGATGAGAGGGAGGAGGAGGGAAGGTAGGTAGGAAGAGATGAGAGGATGAAATGAATGAAGGAAAGGAAGGAAGGTAGGTGTGTGGGAAGGAAGGGATGTGTTGTGGAAGGCAGTGAGGTTAGTGAGTGGTGGTATGATGCATCAGTGTGACACACCAGTGACTCAGCATATTTACAAGTCCACCCCCACACTACTACAAGCTTTCAGAACCTCTTGTAGTTATAGGAACCTGTCCAATGAGTATATATGATAGAAAAATAGTAATAAGCAACATTTTTTATTGTTGGTTTGTGTAAACATGTTTTGTAAACAATATAATGACAGCAAAGTTTGTGCTGTTATTGTGTAGTATACAATGAGTGAATATATACCAAATAGTCTTTAGATTGGTCTCAGAGGCCATAAAAGTTACTTGAAAAAATAAAATATTAAAAAATAAAAGAAACAAGAAAAAACAAAATAAATTATTACAGGGTGACCGGCAGTTGGCAATGTTTCCACATGCAGTTCAATTTCTGTCAACTTCATGCCTCCATATCTCGGTAAGTATTGATGGCAAAAAATTTTTTTTAGCCTATAAAATTTAGAAAAAAAAAAAAACTATCTTTTCATAAGAAAAAATCATTTTTTTTTTTTTCGAATATTTACCAACCCTGAGAACAGGTTTGAGAGAGGGCCTGCCGACCCTGAAAGGGTTAACCCTTTCAGGGTCCGTCCCGTAGATCTACGGCTTTACGTTCAGGGTCCAAACCGTAGATCTACGCCATGAGCTCAGCTCACTCTGATAAACTGTGAGTGGTACATTTGGGCCTAGATATGAGAGAATACATCTATGTGGTATGTGTGCACCACATAAAACAGATCCTGCAGCACACTGTGTATAATGAGAGAAAAAAAATGAAATCATGATTTTTCGATTAAAACAGCAACTTTGCAGTGTTTTTCCGTATGTTTTTTATAGATGTATTTATGATTTCTTGGTCTCATTTGATAGAATAGAAGACATATTACAGAAATAGAGATGATTTTGATTGGTTTTAGCACTGGAAATGGCTTGAAACTGAGCTCAAAGTAGCAGAAATGTTAAATTTTGCCGATATTCAAGAGTAAACAAACGACCTCACATGTCTAATACACGACAGCTGGTGGGTCTAATATACATTCACAAATATGGTGATGATATTTATACAATTATTACAGTATTGCATAACAGTAAATCTTCTATTTTTTGGTGTGAATAAAAATTCATTATGTGAATAAAAAATCAAAATGGAATTTATTTGTAAAGCCTCAAAACATAACTAATGAACAGAGGAAATGTTAGTTTAGTGCCAGGAATGCCTACATTGTTCATTCTGGACCCTATTTTGAAATTGGAATATTTTGAACTTTGTGTTAAATTGGCGAAATTAACAATTTCCGATCACTTTATTTTGTAGTTGAAACAGTTGACTTGACGATTTCTTGTGCTCAATCGATAGAATAAAAGTAATACTAGTGAAATAGCTAAGAATTTGGTTGATTGGAATAATGTAATTGGCCTAAAATGGGAGTCAAAGTCGGCAAAATCGCCGATTCGTAAATATCGCCGACACATCAAAATTTGCGAGAGCATAATTTCGTCAATTTTCCACCAAATTTCGTACTTTTTGTTTTATTACCTTCACAAAAAGATTCTCTACGATTTCATAAGAAAAAATAACAAATTTTTTTTTTTTGAAAATTCTTGGACACTGGTGCGTGACTCCAGATTTGGGCCTTGGACCCTGAAAGGGTTAACTGTTGAAGTAAAAAAACGAAAACAAAAAAAACAAGAAAAACAAAAAAGCATCATTGTTGACTCACCAAAGAAGTGTTAAGAAAAATATCTTAATATTTTCCCCATTTACGGTTCTTTTTTGACACTTGGATATCTAGTAACTTACTCTTTATCTATTATTCATCAACAAATTATCTTCAATCTCCAGTTTTATAATCATACATTTTTTAAACAAACGTATAACTGAAGTACATGTACGGTATGGGGAATACTTATACCCTGGTATAAAACTATGATTTTATGAAAATGTATGTATAAATTTGTACATGTGTACAGTATATATGTAGTAGTAAAAAAGCTTTTACATGTATTTTCCCTCATGTAGTAAAAAGCTAAACGTGTGTGTGCATAAAATATAAGGTTGTCCATACATATAAAGTTGTGTGTACACATAATGAAACTTTGTAAAAAATTTTGTAATGATTTATAAATAATGTACTTTTAGTATAAATTTTTGAAAACATGTTTTTAACACATAAACAGGAAACTTATTTTGAAAAAAGCAAAAAATTAATAACAAAAAATGTTATATTTTTACTTTTTTTCTTTACAGACCCCTGGTTTTCACCCACATTTATGAAGCTTTTGGGGTTGACTGAAAACAGAAATTTTTTTTTTTTAAATTTAGTTTGCATTTTTGGTATTTTATATGAAAATTTGTTTTATCATATAATTATTACTTACAGTGTTTAAGGAATAAAAATTTACCAGCTTTACTACAGTCGGCTGTTTCAAAAGTTTCCTTCTATATAGTGTGTTTTTGGGGTTTCCCTTTAAAAAAAAAATGTACAGTACATCCCAAATTAAAATAGCACATAAAAAGGGGCCTTCACAATATGCCCAAATTCTTTTTTTGGAAAGCACTTTTTAAAATTGCATTTACAAAAAAATCACCCCTACCTTGGGGGGTTTTTATAACAGCTACTAAAACAGATGTATTTTTTCCCGTATTTTTGTTATTTTTTAAAGGGTTTGAATATTGTTACATAAAATTTCCTAAATCATATGACATTAAAATTAATCAGTATTTTTTTACATTTCTTGAAACAGTATTATTTATGTTGTAAATGTATGCAGAAATTAATTTTACTGTATTCTTAAAAAATAATTTTTTTTATTTTTCCTTTACCCCAAAAGAATTTTTTCCTTGGGGACACATTTTTAAAAAATTTTAATTATCAGGGAAAAGTGCTAAATTCTAAAAGCTCATGGAGCACTACAGAATGCTTGGGTAGAAAAGGGGAAAAATTTTAAGAGGCAGGGAAAGATGGATTAGAATGGTAAAATTATATTTGTAATAAAGTTATCTTCGAAAGATGGCATCTTTTTTAAAACCCGAAAAAGGTTTAAAAAACTTTTATACTATTTACATTTTTTCAACTTTGAAAGTATGAAAAAAAAGTGGTCTTTTTGTTTTTTTAAATTGGAAAATGTGTAAAAAAACTTGGACTATTTTTTTTTTTTTTTTATTTAAAAATTTTGTAAAAAAATTTTAGTTTCTACTTTTTAGCATTACACATGTGAATAGATCTGCTTGGCCCATTTCGGGCTAAATAAAAACATTTTAAAGAAAAGGGGTTTTGACCATTAGAAAAGGTTTAAAAAAAAAAGGGGGGTTGAAAATAAAGATTGAAAGCAAGACAGTCTGTCCAGACTTTTCCCCTTAATGGAGTTCCTTTGATTTTCAGTAAACCCAAGGGCCCTCCCTGTAGTCCCCGGGCAGTGGCTGGAGAATGGGGGGAAATAAATTTGACCCAATTTAAACCCCTGTTTTGAAGTTCCCCGCCAGCATAAGAAAATCCTAAATGTAACTAAATAAACAGTATTTTCCCCTTCTTTAATGCACCAAACCAAAAATGCCTAATTTTTTCCCCCCATGGGTTTGTATGCCCCCCCTTCCCATTTTAGCACTCTCCGATAAAAAAAAAAAAAAAAAAAATGAAATAAAAATTTGTAGTAGTATCAAATTTTCCCAAATAGAGATACACATTATTTTTTATTATTTTTTTTAATAAAAAAGAAGGCTAACCCAAAAGGGGCCCTATACAGCCCCATAAGAGATACACATTTCCCAAACCCTTTTTAGGGGAAATTCATTCCCTTCATTCATTTTACGCTTTACATTATTGTTTATTACTTTTTAGGGGTTTGGTTAAGCAATAAACTCAGAGGTTTTTACAGGTACCCCTTTAAACCTTTAACAAACCTCCCTGTTTAACAAATGTTTGGGGCTTACAACCAGCTCTTTTGACCAGTAGGTATTTTTTAAGCGGGTACGAGAATTTTGGCCGGGGGAAAAGGGCCCCGGGTGCATTCACCTTGCATCACTCTTTTCAATCTCAGTTCGTTCCCTCGGTCGTAAAATATTCACAAAATTTGTTGGGAAGCCCACCCTAGTCAGCAAATTTAAGTAGGGTCAGTTAGTCCAATCAGAAAAATCAAAGGCAAATAGTAAAAGTCA